TCACTGATGTGCAACCTGTTCATATATGTTAACATCTCAAAAAAATGAGTTTTAGGGTTTCATGACACATTTTGTTGTTGTTGTGCTTGTTTTAGGGAGGTGATGCTCATGGGGTAAACATGCGCTCCTTGTTCGTAGAACTGCTTAGGGCCAACAAGCCCTTAGTGGTCCATAATGGTCTGATAGACATGGTCTTCTTGTACCAATGCTTCTATGCCCATCTTCCTGATCGACTGGGCACCTTCATTGCCGATCTGTCCCAGATGTTTCCCTTAGGCATCTATGACACGAAGTATGCAACGGAGTATGAGCTGCGGTTTACAGCCTCATACTTGGAATATGCCTATAAGAAGTGGTATGTGGAATATCTCTGTCAAAAGTACAAAAAGTGTACATTTCTGTGCAGTGCCTAAAATTTCAGGTAATTTCTTTGTCCTCCACAGTAAGCTGGATAATAGCAAAGCCATTGCAGGAGGTGGCAATGGGAGTCGTGTGTTCCTAGAGTTTTGTAAATATACAGGCAGCATGCAGAGCTACATAGACTACAGGCTGTGCTTGGACAACCAGAATCAGGATGGTGCCCTCAACATCTGTGTTCAGTTCTCTGTGAGTTCCTCCAATTCAAAGTCAAGAGTTTTTTTTTGTTGGTTTGTTTGACAGAAATAAGTTATGTTATTTTAGTTATTTTATATTGTTATGAAAAAATTATATTTCATATAAATGTTGTTCTTTTTTAATTAAAGAATCCTGAAAATCCTGTATTGCGGTTTCCACACAAGTATTAAGCAGCATAACGGTTTTCAAGCAGTTTATCAGCATATTAAAATGATTTCTGAAGCATCATGTGACACTGAAGACTGGAGTATTGGCTGCTGAAAACTCAGCTTTGCCATCACATGAATAAATTACTTTTTAAAATCAATTAAAATAGAAAACAGTCATTTTTAAAATGTATTATTTCACAGTATAACACAGTCGACTGATGCACCTAACATTAAAATAACAAAATATTTAAACATTTAATCCTCAAACTGATGTAGAATCAACAAAAAGGAAATATTTTAAATATTTCTTTAATGGCATTTCTTTTTCAATGTCAGTACTGTAAATATTGATAAATTATCAGATTAAAATAATTATCCATTTTTAATGGCATTTACAGAATTTTCTTCTGTATGAAACTTAATTTACATAAACCCTTTAATATAAATGTCGCATTTACCTTTAGTGATGTTTCTGCCATCCCTCCATCTGTGGTGTTTGAATGAGAGCTGTTGGTTACTTTTTTCCCCCCACTTTGAAGCCTCAATTTGTCATGCAAAACAAATAAAACCACTAGTAGATTTAATTCTAATTCTAATAGATCTCACTTTTTACTCACCCCTTTATGATTGTATTCCTTAGGCCTGAAGAGATGTTATACTCAATACACAATTTTATGTGACACTCGGTAATTGTTTTCTGCTCTAGGCATATGGATGGTGTCCTAATGGCTCTCAGTGCTCCATGTCACATGACACAGACCTTATAATCCAGCATGATGAGAAGATCAGAGAAGACAAGAGGAAGAAGAGGAAGCGCAAGAACAAAAAGAAAGGTTCTCAAGGGCCCTCTGAGGCATGCAGTTCCCCGCAGGGCAAAAGGTCACACTTTGAAGAGACTGAGCTGGACCAGGCAGTGCCCATATCTGAACCAGCACTCCCTGAACCACAGGAGAAGACAGCAAGTTCTGAGCCAACAGATGCCACACATGCGTTTGAACATGGGAAAGCAGCCAGCAAGAATGGAAATGAGGAATCTCAGCCAGAAGCATCTTCTGAAGCTCCTGTTAGACCAAAAGAGAAGAAAGCCGAAGGAGGAACTCACCGAGCAGGGTTTGACGCTTTCATGACCGGCTATATTTTTGCTTATGCCAGAAATCTGACAGAAAACACAGAAGAATCCAGCACTGCTCCCCTCATCCCTGCATGTCTCAATAAGCTCTTCCTCAGTGGCAAGTCTGTTCCTCTACATGTAGCCAAAAGCACCTTCTCCAAGTCTTCAAAGGCTCATGTGCACAAGATGGACTACGTCTGGGGAAAAAGCACTGCTGTAAAACCTGAAGGAACTGCATAGAAACCTTTGATTTTCAGATGTCAATTTTGTGTACATTTTTGGTCAAATAAAATCTAAGGTTTTCTACGGTTTCCTCTCCGTGGATTGTCTGTTTTTCCTCTTCGGATTTATTTTAATCGAAATTAAGGCAAGCAAGACGGACATTAGACTTTATAGATACTATGAAAAAACCTTTAAAAGCTTGGTTTAGGTCATAAAGCAAAACCACAATAAAAATCAACGAGACATTCTGAATTTATTTTAAACAAATGGGAATACACACATGCGTTTAAACAATTAAAGCCATATAAATGGGAAAATAAGTCCTGATCTGTCTTTGGTAGAAATATACATCTCTGAATCCGTTACAAATCTACAATCTAAAAGCGTTGAAAAAACAGAGTTAAACTAGCAAGAACTGACCATTTTCAACATGTACAGAAATCTCTATTCATCAGTTCGTATAAACAACACAGTTTAAACAGTTCACAGACCTAGTAAAATTACTTTTTCTCCTCATAAATATCAAAATAAATCCTCTCTATAAAACAATCATGCCTTGGTTAAATTTATTGCATAGAAATGTAGTGACAAATAATAGATTAAAAAAAGTTCAAACCATTTAACTTATTTCAAGTACAATTACGATTTTAAGTAGATACAGACATGGACTTATTTTTTGAAGACCTGAGAGGTCAAAAAGTGAGAATGATCCTCGTTTTGAAATGACCATAGCGCGCACACCGTTAGCGTGGGATCAAAACAGGAGCTTTTTAAGATGCGAGACGACATGGAATGTTTGCTGCATATTTTCTAGGCCCATGCAGTGCAAAAAAGACTCGATCACCTTTCTCCAAAGACATTTGTTCTTCTATAAATTCTATAATTACACATGTAGAAACTGGATACAGTTTGTGGACAAATAAAAAAAAACAGCATATGTGGTATGTGCAACCAATAGCATGTATTACAAAGAAAAAAAATATCACAGAAAGCGTCTCATCATTAGCTCTGTGTAAGGTGACGTCCAATGCATCTTCCCACTGTTGAAGTTCTTCATAGTGTGATGGGTAACTACTACCGCATGGACCGGATCAGTGTTTCACACCTCTGTTTCCTGCTCAATCCAAGCCGCCCTTTTAGCTTAAGTTACAAGGGTTTACTTCCCCCAAAGAAAAAAATATATACAACTTCTAATCATATTAAATATTTAACGAATATAATCTCTGTTCGCGTAGCATCTGATCAGTTCAGTCCTCAACCAGGCTGGCGTGTGCCCTTCAACCATCTAGATATCACATCTGGAGA